TCTACATCACTACATTCCCTCCGAGATCTTTCAACGTTTTCCTCTGCCCACGAATTGATTTCCTTCTCAAACTCCGAGTCGAAGTTGTCGTTGGCGGTGGGTGTCCCAAGTTTGCGGTAGTGCTCTACTAGGACTTCCCGCTTTCCTTTAGAACTGCTTACCATCTTACCCTCGGCAGATTATAGTGTCGCTATTCCCGTGTCTCCCCCTCTTTTCTTGCCCACTATCCCTTGAATTCCTACCCACATTTGGGGGGGGGGGGGACTCTGCTCCTTGAAAAAAAAAAATGCACTTCTGTTCAGCTTTGGAGGGGGGTGGGAGCACCGCAGATTTCTGATGTCATGGGGGTATCGCACCATCATGTTTCTTATTGGGGCGTTTCTTAGGTTTTGGCCGAGATTGAGCTATGTTTCTTGGCCCTTTTTTCTTATTTTTCGTACAAACTTGAGCTTTTTTTCTTACAGAATTTTTCTTAACTGCGGGCGCTATTTGTATTTGTACGCGAAGGGAAGGGGTGACGAGTACTGTGAGACGCAGTATCTTCTTTGGAAGACCGTTCATTCGTTTACTCATGAAACTCAACAGAGCCGTAGAGCCAAGCCGCGGGGGGAGGTTCAGGGAAATCTTCACGATGTATACGTCGAAGGAAAAGCCATCAGGGTAGCTTTTGGTCTCCGCTGGGACAGTGATATGTACTGGTGTTCCTCGGTGCGACGCTGGAATACGCTCGTACTTTTTTTGTTTCACAAGAATGAGATAAATATATGTCTATTTGGACTTTCCTCCTCCTTCCGCTGCCGGCTATGCAGTACGTTTGTTGGCCAAGTACAATCTGGTGTGCTGTTGTTGTTTTCAACACGTCCTCGACTGCTATAAATCTCATTTTTAAGTATTGTCAATATGCTCGACGCCAACAAACGGTTGCCAGTCGTCTCGGCGATGCTGACTTTTCGTACCACCCCCTTCCTTAGCGAAAGATGCGTAGTTTAAGGTATAGAATGCCTCCATTGACCCCGGGGATGGTGAGCTATCGTCCCCTGAATTTTAAGGACGCAACCCCGCTCTAAGGACGCTTTTTTTCAGGAAAAACCATGCGCGTCCTTAAGGCGGGGTCGACTGTACTTCAAACTTTGATGTGGTATCCTTGTGTTTGATATCCGTTCCTCCAGCGCGTTTGGTATTATAGACGCAGTGGTTCGCGAACTGTAATGGTATTTGACCCCTTCCTTCAGAATCAATCACCTTAGAGCTGTGTGGAACTCTCTTGTCCGACCACAGTAGCAGGTTGTTGTTGCTTTCCGTTGTTCTCTTTCTCTTGATTAACGCTT